TCCTAAAATTTGTTGGAGGAAAAAAATAATCATCAGCTTAATAATTTGCAGAACATATGTATTCATGCTTTTTGGAAGTTGGGAATCTCTTTTCCACCTCAGCTTGAAGATCTGCAACACTATGGAACAGTCATACTTGGAAGATAAAATGTAGACTCTTCTAAAATTACAGTGTGGATAAATTTAGTGTAACAAAGGAAAATGAATCTCTCTACAAAAGACTTTCTCTTGGTTAGTGTCATTAGTTCTATGCTGAAAACAATAATAATTACAGTACTGCTGGTTTCCAGAATGCTCGTCTCATAATGAACACTAACACTAAACAAAGCTTTTCTCAAGAGTCAGAAAAGAAAAAAAAATGACAGCTCTATTATTTCAGTAGTATTATTTCTCCTTCTACAACCTTTAAAGAGTAAATAATTATTCCATGTGAAAGCCAAATACTTTCCCAGGGAAGCACTCTTATGAACAGGGAGTTAATACTGTTACCAAAATAACCATATATCATGCCTCTACAAAGACTAATTCAAGATTCCTCACTGAGATGTGGGCTGTATATGTGCAGATGGCCATTGTATCAGGAAGTCTGACCAGATATCCATGTGCTGCCTGCATAAGATCACATACAAAATATGGCATGAGTCCAAATAAAGGCTTGCTGCAGAAATTTACACTAATGAAATATAAACAATCCATCACTGTGCCTGTTCAATTAAAAGGATGAATCTTACCATAATAAAAGGTGCTAGATTCCTTTGAGAAAAATTTATGAGTAGCTATATACTGTTATTCAACAAATGTCCCATTACATAACAAGAAATTCTCTAATAGTGAATTTAAAAAATCAGCTCAGAGCCGGGCTTGGTGGTGCACACCTGTAATCCCAGCACTCAGGAGACTGAGGCAGGAGGATCACTGCTAAGTTTGAGGCCAGCTTGGGCTACAAAGTGAATTCAAGACCAGCCGGAACTTCATAGTGAGATCCTGTCACACACACAAAAAAATCAGCTCATAATTGTTGGTGACGGTCAGGAAGGAACATTCTTTTAAATCCACTAAACACTTCATGCCAAGGATATATGAAACATCATAAATACAAAGGTTATTAATATAAGTTTCCCATTCCTAAGGAGTTTATGAACTACAGGAGGAAAATACAAAAACTGATTTTAAAATCCAACATGATTTATTCTATAATACTTAAAAGGTAAGGAACTGGAGAAAATGAAAATACTTCACTTCCTGAATAATGTCTCACGTGGTGACCACAGGACATGAAGAACTTTTACAAATAACAAAGAACTAAACTCTTCTCTCAAGTGCAACCATAGGCTGTCCACAGGGGACAGAGTTTGCAAAAATCAAAAGAACATTCTGTAAAAATCAACTGGCCATATAGAATTTAAAAAGGTAGTTACTTTAAATTTTAAATCTTAATTCTGTCCTGCACATTAAGAAATGTTATAATTGATGATACATATGCATGTCTTTTTTGAGAATCTATTGTTAAAGAGCAAAACATGGTATAAATCTTTAATGCCACCAGTAAGCAAGGATCAGAACAGTGAAGAACGCCTGGTGTGGTGGTGCACGCCTGTAATAGCACTTGGGAGGCTGAGGCAGGAGGATCATTGCAAGTTCGAGACCAGCCTGGGCTACAAAGTGAGTTTAAGGCCAGCCTGAACTGCATAGTGAGACCCTGTCTTAAAAACAAAAACAAAAACAGTGAAGAAAGTTTTTCACTTAGACTCTAATAGCTATTTTCACCTGTCAGGTGTGTCAGTATCCTATTTTCATGCAATGAAAACAGCATATTTTAGCTTTTTTCTTTGACTTATCAAATACAGCAGTCATATTTTAAAAGCCCAGGTGAACTGAGATCTTTATGAATATGATTAATCCCTATCCTTACCAATCCTGTCTCCTAATCTGTAAATTGTGTGTTACGGCATGACATCATCTCTAAAGCTTATTGTAAGTGCAATTCCAACACTCCTTGGACCACTAGAGTTCAATGCAGAAAGTGGCAAAGAAAGAAGAGGCCCTTAAACATTACATGAAAAACCTTTTAAATTGTAAAGAAAAAATCTTAAATGAAAGCAGAATTGTCAATTTTCCAATGGAACTAAATTTACTAAGTTTTTGCCCTTACATTTTTATAAAGCTTTAATCATTTGGGGCTTTGAGTATTCAGTGATTTGCCTCTATATCCATTACCCTAGGTACACTAGAAAAACCCTGAGTGGGACCACAACTTCATCTTGATTCTTTTTCAGATCCCTTCAGAATGCTGGAGGCTCTTCCAATAGGGCAAAGAAAAACAAAGTTACTAGGTTATATTACAAGTTTTAAATAGTAACCTGTTACTGACAAATCACAATAATCAGGAGAATTTAACTAGCCAGAATATTATAATTTAAGAGCTGGCTGTAGCCTGTAAAAGACTTCATGGAGTTGTTGTTGTTGTTTTTTTGTTTTTTTTTTTTTGTAGAAATGTATATTGATTTTATTTCTGCTTTTCAAATTGACATAATAGCTGGTCATGGCTTAGAAATGAGATTTGCAGCCTGTCCTTCCAAAGATCTATGCAGTAATGATAAACCCAGCAGTTTGAATCCATCAAGCTCACACTAAGCACTATGTCTCTGGGTGAATATTTGCTGCTGGACAATGCATCTTTTCAAACTACAACAGAATCTCTAAACTCACAAATGATTTTCTATCAATCAAGTGTTATTTTAATTCAAATGTAGTTCTGAACCACATAGGAGAATAAATCTGCAGTAATTTTATAAATCTAAAACACTTTAGGTTTACTCTGATGCAATTTTACTTATGCTACTGGAATTAAGAAAACAGTTCAAAAAATAAAATCTAATTCCAACATGACAGTTGAAATAAAACTTTTAGTGGTGCTACACAATTTTTTACTGAATTTCAAGGCAACATTCCTGAAATAATCTGGAAAACATTAAGCAGTATCATTTCAAAGAGACCTGTCATAAGATTGACACATTTTAGTGATCAAATCACTGTCAGAATACATGGACCTTGGGATTTCCTTTTTCTTCCAGTAGTAACCTGTTTTTCTCTAGGACCATTATTAAGGAAATATATTTTTCAGCTAGTCATAAGAATATGACTTCCTTAGAAACTCTTTCCTTTGTACTATTAAACACTCTGGAAAATTGCTGGCTTGACTCATTCATGCTGTCAAAATATACTACAGGCTAAGGCTGACCATTAATCTTCTCTGTTTCCTAAAACAACACACATAATTTATGTATGACGTTCTAAAGAAACATCTTTGCGGAGTGTTAGAGCTACTTTCATGAGTTGCTATTTTGCAACACTATGTCCACACTAGCCAATCTATCTTTTTACTATCTCTGAGGATATCATGTTATATAAGAAACCTTTTGTACCATTTTTTTGTTATGAAAAAATAAAGCTTCATAACAAAGTAATAAGAGAATAGTAAGTTATTATACTGTGTATCGTTATCTTCACAATAGTTACCTAAAGTACAAGGCATAAACCAAAAAGATTCTTACAAAAAAGAAACAAATAGATAACACAAAATTTTCAGATTGATTAGAAATTCAAGGAGAAGATATTAGAGTTATGCAGTGATAATTTAGCATGGAGTTATCTGGAATAATAAAATATGTAAAAACATGAAAATCTTTATAAAAATAGAACAGTTAAAAAGTCACACCAGGTGGTGATTGGAAATTTACATTCTTTTGAAAAACTTTTGAGAATTTTTAAATTCTCAAAATGAAAGATTTGCATTAAATGGAGACCTGCTAGTGCTCACTACAATTAGCATATTTCAAGTTCCATTTTGAAGAATGAGGCGACAAAAGTCATAGGAAATGGTCTTACAAAAGAAAAATTTTTGAGTCAGACAGTGGAGACACTAATGAGACAATTATTTTACCTTCTCTCCATTAATAAGAAATTACTAAGTAGGTGAGAAGGCTATTTTGTTTTTAAAATTTACACACAGAGCCAGTAAGAAAAGATAACCTATATGAAAACCTAGAGGTTGTGAAAATTTCCAGATGGTTTTACCTTTAGGAGATAAATACACCTTCTACATAGACTGGGAAGTCATGGCAAAAATACTAGGTTCCCTGAACCACTCAGTAGTATTAAAGTAATGGTTGTTAAGCAGGTACACACAGCTTTTACGAAATATATCTGGTAATTCAGTTGGCTTAGAGATTCCAATGAAGTAAGTCTAGGTGGTAGGGTGACAGTGGAGTAGGAGAACAAATATAGTTTTCCATTTCTCTTTTGCTTTGCACAGGAAACCCGGAAAAGTACCGAGACACTGCTCACCACACTGTGGGCATGCCATGTAAGCTGCTGACTGACATGGAATAAAGTGGATCTTACTGTTGGCGTGGCTGATTACTAGGCAAGGGAAAGGTGTGGATCTAGTAGGGATTTTTAACAAAGTGGTGCAACTGGCCCTGTCTCTCTCACACTTTACTTCCAAAGCTGCCCTTGCATACTTTTATCATTAAAATTCTGAAATGAGAGGCCTTTTGAGGCAAGCATTTGAATACGCACTGCAAAAAAAAATTGATCATAATGGCTTATGTTTCCTCATTCTTCAAAATCCATATGCTAGCAAAATAAACCACAGATAGAAAAGGTTTCAAATCAAAAAGCCCTGGGAGGGATTAATCAATCCATCTTGAAACAAAAACATTTTTTAAAAAATCAAACAAAACTAAGGACCATAACATGACCAAAAAGAATTAATAAGGAACACGTTCACTAACATAGGAAGAATTCTCATTATGTTTTGATATTTTTACTAATACAGTATTTCCCTAAGAAGTGTACACATGTGTATGAGTGTGTGCATATGTGTGTGCGAGACAGCAAGCAGGAAAATAGGTGTAAGACTGTGTTTTCACTGCTGATATTATCTATAGAAACGTGTTGGCTGAAAAATGTTTCTTTAACTCTGGTTTGGCTCCTACCTTGGAACTGATGGGAAATACAAACTTTTCCGTGGATTGCAGCCAAACACGCTGCTAAAACAAAAGGTAACATTCATTAGCAGATCAGGGCACCATGATCTCATTTTGAAGGCTGGTTTTCATACATCCACTGTGAAGTGCCTAAAGTTTGGAAACTCAAACTATCAATGTCATATACCAAGTAAACAGCCTTACCTCAAATATTTTTACATGAAAAAATGTTTAAAACTATGAAATATGAAACAAAAAAGACAAAAATTAAGAAGATTCATTTGATTCTTAACTTCATACTTTAGTTTAATTTTCCCTCTGCAACCACCTCAAAATCTGAGTACCAACAGACATGTGTGTTACTCCTTTGTTACTCCTACTGATAAATCCAATCAGTAGTTTCAATATGCAACTATTTATAACTATACATGAGTTCTCAATATAACATGAACATTTAATAGTTTTACCTTATCTTTTCAAAGCAATATGGTGGGGAGGAGGTTCTAGATTTTATGGTTGTACTAACTACCCACCAATTCTCTACTTAATTCCAGGAAGGTCTTACTGCACCATTTTGACAACTCCCAAGAAGCTGAAAATAACCTTTATGTTCAATGCCATTAGAGGTCCTCTTGCACTTCCTCCTAATGGTTTCTCAACATGTTACAAAACTAAAATAGCCAACTCAAACAATTAACAAACTATCTCCTTTGAATACTTATTTCATCCAATCTAACATAATATCATTAATTCACTGGCACAATCAACATATCATGGCATAGAATGGGAATAATCCATAATCATAACAAGAAGGCAGTGGCCTGGCTCAGTACATTAAACAGTGAATGTATAACACATATTCGGGATTAGAATATAACAATATTTATAGGAACTGTGGAGGAAAATCCAGACATAGACATAGGAAATGAATAACAGGCTATATTATTTCTAAAGAACCAATGAAATTGGGGCTTTGTTTTACTTTTCTCTTACTTGCTGAAAAAAAGTACATTACTTTCCTACTTCTAAACAGGCTGAAAGTCCCAAACTTGTGAGTCAGGTAAATGCCTTTAAATATTTTAGAACAAAAGGACCATTTCAAAAGGCTAAATTGGGTCCCTATCATCTCAGTGTTAGGGAAAGGAAAAAATGAGGATGTGATAAAGTATCATAGATTTGGGTACTTTAGTTATAACTTTGAGAAAGGAGGTAGGTACTTTACTTGAGAAGGTTTATGTAGGTATAAAAAGAAGAACATATAAAATTGTGAAAAAAATAGACTTTAAGATTTAACCTTCTACTCTATGCAGTGATTTATTGCATAAGCATCAATGTTATTTTGGAAAAGATTTAGGTGAGTCTCTTAACAAACTTTATATAAATAAATGAGCATTTTAAGTATCATATGTGATTTATTGTAGACCAACATAAAGCTAAGGAGACATTAGTTTTTTTTTTTTTTTTTTTTTTGGTTTTTCTCCGGTACCAGGAACCGAACTCACGACCTTGCGCTTGCCAGGCAAGCGCTTTTGCCGCTGAGCTAAATCCCCAGCCCCAGGAGACATTAGTTTTAAATGAAATTAAATTTGGAGCAGATGGTTATAACTACTTTTCCTTTCATGTATAACTGCATTTATTAAATGGATTTTAGGCACAGACAATAATATAAATACTGAATTATTCTGCAAATACTAGCCCACACTAGCTTGAAGTGATAAACATGTAAGAGTTAATGGGGTTATTTTCCCGTGAGTGGAAACAGGAAAGTAAATAAACAAGTATGTGATAGTGCACAATTATACACACCCTAGAAAAAGTATTAAAGTTACTAGCTGGCATGAACTCACTAGAAAGTCCTTTGGAGTCAACTAATGCATAGATATCTATAGTGCAATATACAAAATGACTAGTCACATGTATTCTAACCTAGGGCAAAGTTCCTCTAATAAGGGGTAACTTAGATTGAATTCCAGTACTCAGACACAAGCAATATTAATGGCTATCATTTATAGGGTATTTACCCTGAGCAAAAGAGCAATAATTGATTTATCTAGAGCAAATATTGGACTCATCAGACACAGAACGGTAACTAGCACATTGTTTCTCTTATATGAGAAAACCAAAATAAAAGTAATTTAAAGTGAAAAATAAAAATCTAGAAAACAGGAAGTTAGACTTTGTGGATTAGGAAGGGGACCTATGGATAGGAGAGATGGGGAGATTGGAGGGAGGGAAGGGGAAGTAAAAACGATGAAGATGCAATATGTACATGTACTAATTCCCCAAGAGGAATGTAATTATGCATTACAAACATATACTAATATAAGATTACAGAAAAAGAGAAGAAAGCGCCTGCCTGGCAAGCGCAAGGTCGTGAGTTCGGTTCCTGGTACCGGAGAAAAACCAGAAAAAGAGAAGAAATCATCTTTTGGGGAGGTTAAGCGACTGTCACAATGTCATTAGGAGTCCTGTAGAAGTAAACACAGACTCAGCTAAATCTCCTGTGTGTGTGTGTGTGTGTGTGTAGACTACATTATGTATGCATATGGCTTAGTGCAATCTCTCTAAAGATCCTATTTTGATTAAAATTCTAAAGGTGACATGGGGACTTAGTGAAGATGACTAGTAGTCATATTCTCATTATTCTTAGCACCAATAATTAACTGCTAAAATAGTTTTCATTGTAAATATCATCTCAAGGAAAAGAATATGGAGGTCAATCTAGATACTCATGAAACACCAAAAAAATAGTTAAGAAGAAAAGCTAAAAAAGCTAAAACAAACTAACAACAACAAAAATGCCCTAAGAAATGAAATCAAAGGACAAGGTGTTAACAGCACTGACTTTTCCCTGTGATCAATTTGGCTGTGGAAACAAAGTAAGTTTGAATTACATACTAAGTTTGAAACAGTGCAGCAATTTTATAAAAAATTTTTAATTAGTTCTTTCACTGAACTTACACTTTTCAAAAAATGGCTAAAAAGTAACTGTTGCTACTCTTTTTAGGAAAGAATCCCTGGTTGTACGACTACTGGCATTGAAGTTTTCTGTTCCTTTATCCAAGATAAAATTAACCAAATTAACTGGTCTGTGGTAATTATGCATTTTTCATAGCACATGTTAAATCACACAATGAACAGTAATATTTTAGTGGTATCTCTTAAAAGGCCAGGATTATAATTTAAACTACTATTTATTAAATACCCAATAAGCCCAGAAATTTCACATTCACATTTCTTTTAGGATGAGCGTGCTCTTTGTGCCATACCTTGAACAAAATGTAATCAATAGTTATTTACATGATCATTATTATTTCAACTGCATATAGAGCAAAAGTCTTAAAAACAATATGAGATACTTTTTAAAACATCATTAATATTCATGTATCATGTAAAAAGTTTTTCTACTTACTGGATTTAAGTATTTCAGCATTATTAGCATAGTAAGTAAATACTACACGCATAGAAAAATTAACTACTAAAATTTTACTTCCATTTTATTTTATTTTATTTTATTTTGTGATAGGCTCTCACTTTGTAGTTCAGGTTGGTCTTAAACTCACTATATGGCCTAGATCCCTTGAACTCACAGTAATCCTCCTACCTCAGCCTGCTGAGTGTTGGGGTTACAGAAATATGTCACCACACCCAGCTCTCCTAGCTAAGTTTTAAAATAAATATTAGAAATCCTAAGTACATAATGGTAACATACAATAAGAAGATATGTAACAGGAAGTAATTATCAAAGCAGCATATAGTTTCATCTAAATTTGATCTTCTTACAGTATAACTTAAAAAGACTTAAAAGTTTGTAAGTACATATTTTTGTTTCCAGTATTATTATAAATGCCAATAAAACTCACAAAACAAGAATGAAATCTTGGCCACATGCAAAATATCTTTGCATGGTTTATGGAATAGATATTGATACTGCTACTTCTGTGAATAACAGGCATTGTATTTCAAGCAAAGGAAACAAAAATCCCACAAAGATAGTTATGAAATGAAACACCTTCTGATCTTATGCCCTTATGCTTCACTCCCAAGCATTCTCTTAGAAGCCCAAAGCTCTGATGGTTGTGTATGTGTGTGTGCGTGTGTGTGAATCAGAACATTCTGTTATGATTTATTACATTTGTTCTCAGTGTGTGACACAAATTTTTAAATTCAACTTGACATGAGATTTAGACTGTACAGTGTCAGGTTAACATAAATTTCACATCCAAAATGAGAAAAATTTTATTAGCAATTATTAACGGATGGTTCTCCAAATAAAGAAAAATGTTAATGCACATGTGTTTAAAAGTACTGCCTCCTTAAACTCAACAAAATACCCAAATATGTATACTCAAATACACAGATGTACTAATAATTAAAATATTATATTTTTGTTTGCACAAGATCATGATACAGTACTTCACAGTATTATTAGCTCAAAGAGGTTAAACAACATAGAGGCTGCAAGCATCAACTATGAAGACAGACTGCCTATGTTGGATCTCAGGTCAAATACTTCCTGTGTAACCTGGTACAGCCAATTTAATTTGCATATTAACATTTCATATAATCAATACATGATGATCTAATCAGAAGAGTGAAATTAAACAATTCCATGTGTGCTAGCTGAAAATCAACTTAATTCATGTTTACCTCACTGAATTTAGAATTTCATAATGGGCCTAGTACAAATCTCTTACCATACAGAAATTCTAATACATGTAACTATAACTGGTATTTACTGCCCTTCCTACATAGACTAAAGGTCTATAGTTCTATTTCATAACAAAATTCTCCTGTACATGTGAAGATATTTAATGCCTACTTGTGATTTGTATGAGCCCATTTGTGTTCTATTGGGACATATTAAAACTCATAACTAAAAAAGTTTAGAACAATATTTTATTATTTTATAGTCATTTTTATCTTCATTGTAGTTTTCACAATCTTGTGAGCTCATAATAACCATTTATCTATCAACAACCAAAAAGGAAAAAACTTTTTATACATCCTTACATCAGGATTGCCTATTGCAGTATCTGGCATACAGGAGGTAATGAATGAAT